ATGGATGTGCAACTGAACCAGAAGACACAGAGGTGATGGATTTGGATCTAGTCTCACCTCTGCCGCCAGGACAGCTAAGACTGTCACCTCCGCAGGTTAAGAGATCTTGGGAAAGTCACTTCCCATTCTTGACCATCGTTTTTCTCATCTCTAAATAAATGGGTTGGACTAGTTCATTTCTAAGGTCCCTTCCAACCCCAAGTAAGGATAGTACCTGGCCCAGATAAGTGCTCCATAAACACCTGCTGGATGAATGACCTCTTTGTTGGGGTGGTTCTCTTCACCTGTTAAGGGACCTCCGAAGCACTTTCCTATGGGGGAGTATCTTTGGCCCTGGGGAGAAGCTGACTCCAAATTGCTTTCCAGACTTGGTGGAGAGAAAGCAGCTAGAGCTTTCACCTTTGGTGTTCTCTAACTTCCCACGTTAGGCTCCTTGAACTCATAAGTGACCCAGGACATCCTTGACATGCGGAAACTGGACATTTGGCTGAACAAATGCGAATTGCGCATCTGCAAGACTGGCGTGAGAGTGAGGAGCCCGGCTGACTGCCAGCATCCATACCCCAGGGGTTCGCCTTTAAAACATCTGCACAAAACCCTGTGAGGTGGAGCTAATTACCCTCAATCTTTGGAGTGGAAAACTGAGGAAATGTTTCCTTTTGTTCAACAGGCCTTTCCTGGGGGTCTGTTAGGTGCCAGGCATTATGTCCACTGCCAACATCTCTGCCCTGATGGTTCATCATAATCATCTGTGCAGCTTTGAAAGAGTCCAGAGGCCCAAGCAGTACCCCAGAGCCCCTGAATCAGAAACAGAGACAGAGACTGTCTTATGTTGTTGGTGAAAGTAGAGATTGAAATCACCTCTTTGGAGGACAATTTGGAAATATTTATCAGCTTTTATACTCTTGACCTAGGCAGTTCCACCCCTGCATGTGTATCTTTCAGATAGGCCCTCACATTGTATGTCAGACCACATGCACAAGGGGATCCGTTGCAATAATATTTGTAATGTACTGGGAAGCCCTGTTGTGAGCAGTTTTGCAGAAAGGCCCGCAGGGCAAGGAACCGAAGCCTCCAACCAACAGCCGGCGAGAATCTGAGGCCAGCCAGCAAATACACTTGTGAGACTGGAAGTGGATTCTGCTGCTCTCCTGAGCCTTGGGATGCCCACAGCCTCACGAGAGACCCTGAACCAGAACTGCCCGGCTAAGCCACTCCCAGATTCCAAACTGTCAGAAACTGTGTGAGATAATAAATGTTTGCTGTTTGCTAAATTTGGGGGTAACTTGTTACACAGCAATAGACAGCTAATATACCATTCTTACTTTTTAATTTGTTTTTTAAGAGATAGGGTCACACTGTCACCCAGGCTGGAGTGTAGTGTCATGTTCATAGCTCACTGCAGCCTCAAACTCCTGGGCTCAAGAAATCCTTCTGCCTCAGTCTCCTGAGCAGTTAGGACTACAGGTGCACACCACCACACCTGGCTAATTTTAAAATTTTTTGTCAAGATGGGGTCTCACTCACATATGTTTCCCAGGCTAGTCTCTGAACTCCTGGCCTCAATCTTCCTGACTTGGCCTCCCAAAGTGCTGGGATTATAGGTATGAGCCACCTCACCTGGCCTCCATTCTTATTAATTTATTAAACCTTCCAGTGCTTCTTTATGTGAATAAAAGTAAATACAAATATATATTTTTATTTTCTCCCCTTTCTTATATACATAAAAAAATGGTGTACTATAATGCCCCATTCTATACTTTTTTCCCCCACACAATGATATTTCCTGGAGATGCCTTCATATCATTACAGAGAGGAATTCCTCATTGTTTTTATAGCTGCATCATGCTCCATTGTATGGAATATTTATTCAGCCAGTTTCCTGTTGTTGGACACTTGGGTTGTTTCCCACTTTCCATTATTACCAACACTGTGCTGTGAATAACTTGAAAGTATATCTTTTCATATGGTGCGAGGGCATCTGTAGGAGAGGGTTTCAGAAGGGAAGCTGCTGGGTCAAAGGTGCACTTTGTAACACTGATAGACACTGCCAGGTACTCCTCTGCAGAGAAAGTTCGCCCTTTAGTATGTTTGGCTTTTGGACTGTGTGCCTGTTTCATCTCTGCAGGAGATTCTGATGATCATCTGAGATTCAGAACTCATCTACTCCTACTCTACTCTCTCTTGATCAGATGCTCTGAGGGAATGAGGAGGAGAAAGGTTAAGAGTCAAAATTCTCCGCATGCTTTAGAAGCATGCACATAGCAAACATGCCAAAGAGCTACTAACGTGGGAGCCCACAGGAACCGAGACACTGGGCTGGGAGCTCCTGGGCTGGCCTGCGGCCAAGGGCAAAGACACGCTGCTGTGGGCACGTGGCTTCCCGCTCAGCAGCTCCTGACGGAGGAGAGCAGCACCCAGGGCCCAGGAGAGCCTGGGGACAGTGGCCCCTGGTCTGTGTGGGGGAGACGCTCCAGCCCCTTCAAGATAAAAGCCTGAGCTGAAGCTAAGGGACCAGCACAGGGCCCAGGGGACGCTCCAGGAAGGAAAGATGTGCTCAGAGGGGTCTGTCTGAATTATGGCTTGACAAGGCTGGCCTGAAAGAACTGTATGTATTTTATTACCTTGGAAAATGGAGTATTCTTATTATAAATTCATGGTGGGGGGGGGAAAAAGCTCCCTTCTATGGCCAGCCAGCCATCTGTATTACAGATCGCTCGATTGTACTTTCCACTCTTACTCTATGTGAGGAACAACCCCCAAGCCATCGGGAAATGCTCTGCATTAATAATGAGCCTAGAATGTGCCCGGAAAAGTAAGTCATGTTCAGGGCAAGCAGGAGGGTCCAACGCCGCTTTCAGTCTCTTCCGCAGCTATAATTTTAATTAACAACGTTTTTCCGCTGTTCAAGGATTTTGGCAGCGCTTTGGCCCAAAGAAAAGCAAGCAGAATTCCCTTCATGTTTGAAAGCTTACTTTAGAATATAGCAATGCAGTGTAGGAAGAAAAAAAATGGGATTTATTGTCATAAGATTCCATTTTTAATCTGGTTCTTCCTCTCATTAACAGTTAGTTGGTCTTGGCAAGCCATTAATGTTCCCAAACTTTAGTTTCCCTAGCTAGTAAACGAGTATAACAACAGCTCCCTTAACTAGCCCACAGGTGGTTCTGAGGGTGCCCCCTCCAAAGGGAAAAACTGCAAAATGCTTTATAAAAAGAAGTGTGTGGTTTGTGCCTGATTATAAAGGTCATTTTGTGCTTTGGTGCCTTTAGTTAGTAACGTCAATTCACATCCATTGTAGAAATTCTATACAATCGGAAAGGATTGAGTTAATTTTCAGAAATTTGTGTGGTTCTTATAAAAAGTCACTGCCCACCTGTCCTCAGTCACAAGCTTTTAAAATAGCAGCCTGATTTTCACAGGGTCCCAGATATTCTGGTCCCCCAGAAGTCACCCAGTTGTGTGGATGACAGTGCCATCCTTCAATTGCTCTCTCAGGCCGGCAACCTCAAGTCATCCTTGACTCTTCTGTCCTAGCCAGAGGGATTCTTTGTGTCAATCCATCAGAAATCTAGCCACAGTGTGACCACTTCTCACTGCCTGGTCTGGGCCACCAAGATCTTTGCAGAAGGCTGCTTCCAACCCTCTGTGCTCCACTCTGTGCAGAGCAATCCTTTAAACACAAAGTCAGACCAGGCACGGTGGCTCACATCTGTAGTCCTAGCACTTTGGGAGGCTAAGGCAGAAGGATCACTCGATCCAGGAGTTTGAGACCAGCCTGGGCAACACAGCAAGGCCCTGTCTCTGCAAAAAATACAAAAAGTAGCTGGATGTGGTGACACACACCTGTAGTCCCAGCTACTTGGGAACCTGAGGCAGGGGGATCACTTGAGCCCAGGAGTTGGAGGTTGCTGTGTGCTGTGATTGTGCCACTGTACTCCAGCTTGGGTAACAGAGTGAGACCCTGTCTCACACACACACACACACACACACACACACACACACACACACACACACACACAATTTTTTTTTTAATTTTAAATAAATAAAAAAGATTGTGTCACTCCGCTGCTCAAAACGCTCCAGTGACTGCCCTTCTTACTCAGATCTGACCCCTGCCTGGGAATCCCACGTGGTCTGCCCCCACCAGCCTTGCTGCCCACATCCCCTGCCAGGCTCCAGAAGTTGCTCTGGTCACGCTGGTCTCCTTGCCTTTCCCGAAAAGTGCTAAGCGTGCTCCTGCCTCTGCAGTTTGCACATGCTGCTCTTTCTTGCTGGTACTGCTCTTTCAGACACCACCCCTCACTTTCTTTCTGCAGGGCTCTGCTTGTTGTCACCTTATCTGACTTCACTGTGTAAATACGACAAGCCCCTCCCCAGCCCTGCCCCAGCCCAGCAGCCACTCTCTCCCCTGCCTCCCGCACTCCCTCCATAGCACTCTTCCCACACAACATGTCATATGTTTGTCTGTTGTCTGTCTCCCACCCACTCCTGCTTCCCACTGCCAAAGGTAAGCCTCACAAAAGCAGGAACTTTATTTCACTCATTGTTATATCTCCAGAGCCTAAAACAGTGCCTGGCTCATCACAGGGACTCACGGAGTATTTGTTGACTGACTGAATAAATGGATTACCTAAGTGTGATATAGACATACGTACGTAAGAAGATATGGAGATAAGTTGATAATATACTTTATGTGCTAGCCAGTGAAGTTAAATGTATTATCTAGTATTTACATGTCATTTATATCTCTCCTTTTGTAAATTGTCTTGTCAGTCATGTCTTTTGTTCATTTTTCCTTTAGAGACGATTATATTGTTGTTAGACTTTTATGTGCTCTATATGTATTAGGAATCTTTGTTCATAGACGTGCTTTCTAGTCTGAAATGTTCACTGAGGGGTAAGGTGCTGTATTAATTTAAGGTGTTTGAGATGTCTTTTACGATTAAGTCATTAATGTATGAATCATCTTCTGTTTCTAATTCCGATTTGGTTCTCAGAGTTGGACTCTTGTGCTTTGGGGGACCACGGCTGTGAACATTCGTGTGTGAGCAGTGGAAACTCTTTCGTGTGCCAATGCTTTGAAGGCTATATTCTCCGTGAAGATGGGAAAACCTGCAGAAGTAAGTTTTTCCTGGAGCTGGCTCGTGCTACCGCGTCAGACCACTGCACGAAACCCACTGTCCCGGTCTCTGCATCAGTCAGTTGCTCTCAAGTCAATGCCACGCAACTACATGTAATGTGGTACCCTGGATGGCATCCTGGGACAGAAGAATGACATTGGATTAAAAACTAATATAAATAAATTACTGACTTTAGTTAATAATAATGCATCAATATGGGTTCATTAATTATAATAAATATATGGTACATTAGTTCTAGTAAGATGTTAATAATAGGGGAAACTAGGCGTGGGACATATGGGAATTCTCTGTACCATATTCTCGACTTTTCTGTAAATCTAAAACAGTCCTAAAAAATAAAGTTTGTTTAAAAAAAAATGCAGTAACAAAAAAGTTAATGCCAGAGCTACAACTGAAGTTGCTCATTTATATGTTTTATGGCAAGAAAGAGTGGGTTAGCAGTGTGCTCCAGTGGAAAGACATACAGTCAGAAATCCAAGATTCAATCAATTTCTATTTCTGCCATTTATTAGCTAGGAAAGTTGCCTGACTTCTCTGAGCCTCTGTTATTTATCTATAATAGTGTTGTTGTTATTTCTGGTAGCACAAATCCCTCATAGAGGGCACCTTGTGATGAGGCCATTCTTGCATTCTGGAAGGCAAAGCCTCTTAGATGGGGCCGTGACAAGTCTGCCTCGGACAGGCAGCTGCAGGGTGAATTGCTGGTGGCAATCTCGAGACACATCGCTGCATAATCAAAGCGGAGTGGGTGACCCTGAGCAAATGATTTCTGTCTCTATTGGTTATCTTCTTCTCAAGCTTCTCAAACACTTCATAAAGAGCAACTGTGTTGACACTTTTTTGAAGAAAAGATGGGTAACTGGAATTATTCCGCTCATATTTTAGACAGCAAAGCTAAGACTCCAAGAGGTTATGTGGTCCTCCTACGTCACATATTATGCCAGGGACAAAGCCAAAATTAGATTTCAGTGCTGCTAATCTAAATTGAGGTTTAATCTCCTAAGTAATCATAGCAACAGTGTTTCCATTCTGAGATCAGAAACTATGCAGAAAACTGATGATGAATTGCATTTCTGTGAGACACTAAAGTCGCTGCTGGTGAATGATGATGATGATGATGATGGTGAGAAAGTTTGAAGAGTTAGCCCAAATTAGAGCTTGCTAAACTTTGCTCTCAGTTTTATCTCTCCATCCTGTGGGTCACTGAGCTCAAGTGGCACTGGAGTGGCTGAGATGGATGGCTCCTCCAAGGTGAAGTCCGTGGAAAATTCATGTTGATGAAATTGTTTTAACTTGCTCTGGTCTCTTCAGGGAAAGATGTCTGCCAAGCAGTAGACCATGGCTGTGAACACGTGTGTGTGAACAGTGGCGAATCATACATGTGCAAGTGCTCGGAAGGATTCCAGCTTGCAGACGATGGGAAGCGCTGCGGACGTAAGTAGTCTCAAGGTGGAGAAGAACTTTTCCATCTGTGGGACCCAGACGGTTACAGAACTTCATTTAATCTTTAAATCTTCCTTTATTACCAATGTTACAAATATCGTTTCCTACCTTGGGTGCTCTGAAAGTGTTTTGCTAGAGGTCACTGCAGGAAACCCTAAGTTCTTTAGGAATTTCTCGGTCAGAGCCCCGAGTTCTCAGGCTCTTTGCTTCTTTTCAGTTTCTCTCAGCTGCTGGTCTTTCCACGATGTCGTGTGGATGCCCAGAGCCTAGCACAGGGCCTGACTAGTCGCTGGACTGAATTAGAGTCTCTGTCAGCAATCGCCACAAGGATCGAAGGTTCTGTAGTGCTTCTTCTTCTTGGCAGACCTTATAAGTAAGGGTAAAGGGTGAGAGAGGGGCTGAAGGGATTTTCCATGACTTTTGTTTGTTCTTTCTATCATTTGTTTCTATAGATTGTTCAGAAAAGACCTGGAGAGTTTAGGTAGAAAGTATATTAGCCAGGATTCTCCAGAGAAACAGACCATAGGGGATAGATAGATAGGTAGATAGATAGATAGATATGGAGAGAGAGAGAAAACTTGATTTTGAGGGATTGGTCCACAGGATAGTGAGGGTTGGCAAGTCCTAAATTGGCAGGGCAGGCTGGAGAGCCAGGCAAGAGCTGATGTTGCAGCTCCAGTCCCTGCACGCAGATGTCCCTGTTCCTCAGGAGACTCAGCCTTTTGCCCTTAAGGCCTTCAACTGAAGGAATGGTAATTTCTCAAGGATTGTGAATAAACACATTTTTACATTTTTTAAAAAAAGGGCCTTCAACTGATTTGGATGAGGCCTGCTTACATTATGGAGGGTCATCTGCTTTACACAGAATCTACCGATTTAAATGTTAATCCCGCCTAAAACTTACCTCACAGCAGCATCTCGACTGCTGTTTGACCAAACTGGGCACTAGGTAGCCTAGCCAAGATGACACAGAAGACTAACCTTCACAACACCTGAGGGAAGAGAGGGACCCGGCACACTAACTCAGTGAGGTGGGCGTTAGAAGAGCACAGGGCAGGGATTTTTTTCCCCACTGTGAGATTCTGAGGGGTTTTGACAATGTCTACTTGCATTTGTGACACTCTGCCCCAGTGAGCAGATGGCCCTTTTTTAGTTAAAGCGATATAAGTTCATCTGCTTTTGAGGTTGATTTTTGGGAATTTTCTTGCAGACTCCTTGTTTGGAAAAAGCACTCAAACCTGGCTTTTCCCTTTGCTGTCACAGCACAACAAGCATCCACACGGAAAGACTTCTGTGACCAAATGTGTGGGGTTTCCACCCCCTCCCCACACTAAGCCCCAGACATCAGTGAGGTGTCCTCTAATTCAGTTCCACACTGTCTGCTTGGAGATAGCATCAGATCCCCAGATGGAGGGCTCAGTCCTCAGGACTGCCCCCACCCAGGCACAGTCACAAGCTAAGGCCTGTGGAACTTCTGACTGACCAGCTTCAAGTTGAGGTCCCACGGCCCCTGCTTTGTTTTTGATTAATTTACTAGAGCTGCTCACAGAACTCAGAGAAACACTTATTTACATTTACCGGTTTATTATAAAGGATATTACAAAGGATACAGATGAGGAGACGTGTAGGGTGAGGTGTGGGGGAAGGGGCGCAGAGCTTCCGTGTCCTCCCTGGGCGCCACCCTCCAGGAACCTCCATGCGTTCAGCTCTCCAAACCCAGCCCTTGTGGGTTTTTATGGAGGCTTCATTGCATAGGCATGATTGACCACTGTGTAGAAATGTTGATTAGACAAAAAGTACCTGGTCTAAACCCAGCAAGGCCTATCTGTTCATACTTTCTTGGCCTCTTTGTGTAGCATTCCTTCCTGTGGGGTGTGGGGCAGGACCCTCTCTTGGAAGGAAAGTCTTTCAACCCACAATCAGATTAGAGTCCTGCCTTGGGCGGGTGAAAGGAGGACAGAAGAAGGTCAGAGAAAGAAATTCTCTTTCCTGAGGCCTAAAGTGCCCACATTATAACAAAACACTGGAACAAGGGCTATGGGAGTTTCGAGTCAGGGTCTGTGGACGAAAACCTATACATACATATAAAATCATATCACACTCTTTTGTGATACATGGGGACATTCTACATGTGACAAAGCTGGGTTGGATGGAACTCACTGCCCTCCTACTGACACTGGGAAGAGGGACTCCCACCTTTAGCAAGAAGTTCTGTTTGAACAGCGGACTCCTGGGGTGCCTGCGGTACCCTGGCCTAACTGCAGGATCCCCGCATGTCCCCAGGTCTAGCTTCACACTGCAGTGTCCCTTCGGTGGAGACTGTCCGTTCCGTCCAGTACGTCTGCCTGAGCGGCTCGTTCGCGCCTTCATTTCTGTAAACATCTGCACATTCACACATACCATTTATTCATTCAACACAGCTATTGCTCAATAAATTGACCTATTGGACACAAGGCACAACTTCTACCTCTGGAATTTGATCGCTAGATCATATTCCACCATTCCCACTTCCTGGAGGGGTCTGTAGCCACTGACTGATTTTGTATGAAGCTTCTCCTTTTAAAGGGCTAAAGCCAGAAAAGAGCCATGGGCTTTCATGCGTGGAGGAGGGGACTCAGGAGACGTGGGGCCTCGGCTGTGTCATCACCTTGCCGGATGACCCTGGGCACTAAGTGAGACGTTTTGGGGATCTATTTCTTCATGTGTATATTGGGAATCATTATCCCTGCCCTCCTCCTCTCACAGGATATTGTGAGGATGGAACGGCTTTGAAGACTTTAAAGTAACTCACACACGAGAAATGTTCATTAGACGATCAAAACTGGAGTATTTGGGATGCCTATGGAAAAAATCAGAAACTAGAGCACATTTAACAATTCTAAAACTTAATAATGAGTCAAGGACACCCAATCACCTGTCTTGCCATTCAGACCTGTGTGAGCTAGAGCTTTCTGAGAGCTTCTTTCTTATCATGGCCTGCCAGGAGTATGAGGCTAAAAAGGATGTTATGAAGGACATTCGAGCAGAGATGGATTTTCTTAAAAATAAATGATTTCCATGATCTCTCCTTCCATGACTATTCAACGCGCCTCCTTTATACACTGATAGGATTGTTCAACTCCCTACGTTTTCCTCAGGGAAGGATGCCTGCAAATCGACCCACCATGGCTGCGAGCACATTTGTGTTAATAATGGCAATTCCTACATCTGCAAATGCTCAGAGGGATTTGTTCTAGCCGAGGACGGAAGACGGTGCAAGAGTAAGTGATCTGAACTTGGCTCTCTGCTTCCGTTTGGTTTGGAGCAAGTGCTTTTTGGAGTATCTTCAGCCAACAAATCCCTCAATCCCTCAGCTCTGCTTCCCTCATAAATATAAATGCATACGCACAAATAAGGCGTAGGGAAGAGAGGGCTTAACGGCAGCACCTGTGGAAACACTTTCAGTTTTAGTTGACAGTAAGTTCATCATCAGCCAAAAGGCTGGAGTGATCTCAGGCTGAATGAGATCTGGGTGAGGAGGGGTAGAGTTGTGCTCTGCTCTGTGCTGCAGAATTACGCTCAGTTCTGGGCATGGTACTTTAGGAAAAGAGAGATGGAGCAAACGTTTAAAAATTTAAAAAAACACATATATAACCCCCCACCGCTAAATTTGGCTTTAAAAACTAAAAATAAAAAAGCTTGCAAAATAGCAAAAGAAATTTTGAGAGAATAATTTTATAATCTCAGAGTAGAGAAGATCTTTCTAAACATTATGTGAAATTTCAAAGCCATAAAAAGGGAAAATATATATTAAGAGATTAAAGTTACAATAACTTTTTTTTTTACCTTTCATCAGAGATCAAAAAGTTTGATGAGGGCTGGGTGTGATGGCTCACACTTGTAAAGCCCAGCACTTTGAGAGGCCAAGGGAGGAGGATTGCTTAAGGCCAGAAGTGTGAGACCAGCCTAGGCAACATAATAAGACCCTATCTCAAAAGAAAAGAAAAGAAAAAGTTTGATGAGTCTCTTATGTTGGCAAAAGTACGTTGTAATAGGCATTTATAAATGGATAAGTGGATGTCTGAATTGACACCACCTTTTGGAGGGAAATTTGGCAGTTTCTTTAAATGTAAATCTCCTAGGGGTTTATCCTACAAACATGTACATGGGTTTACAAAGCCTTATATATAAGAATATTAGGTACAGCATTATTTGTAGCAGCAAAAAAATGGAAACAAGCTAAATGTTCACCCATAAGAGACTGGTATATAAATGATAGTATATCTATACAATAGAAGATGATGCATCTATCAAAAAGAACAAAGCAGCTCTAGACATATCCTCAAGATATTTTAAGTGAAAAAAAAACCATGGTGCTGAATGGTTTTTATAGTATGTTACCATTGATGTATTTTCTCTCATACATTGATGTATGTACTCTAACATATACATTCTCTCTCTCGCTCTCTCTCCACACACATATACACACACATGCACACACATTTTTTCTTTTCTTTATTTTTAGAGACAGAGTCTTGCTCTGTCGCCCAGGCTGAAGTGCAGTAGTGCCATCCTAGCTCACTGCAACCTCAAACTCCTGAGCATAAGTAATCCTCCTTCCTCAGCCTCCTGAGTACTGGGATTACAGGCACACGCCACCACATCCAGCTAATTTTTCTTATTTTTTCGTAGAGATAGGGTTTCACTGTGTTGTCCAGGCTGGTCTTGAACTTTTGGTCTCAAGTGACGCTCCCACCTCAGCCTCCCAAAGTGCTGGGATTACAGGCATGAGCCGCCTCACCCAGCCTATACGTCCTTTCTCTAATGTTTGAGTTTTGTTCCATGTGCATGTATTATTTTTTAGAAAAAAAAATTTAAAGAAATAGGATAGAGATAAACATGACTCAGGAAAGAATTAAGCTTCAGGGTGAGGAAGTTCAGTACTATGTCAAGTGAAAAATAAAGGAAGAAACTGGGGATCTTTGTAGGGAAAAAAAAAACTTGAGGTACCACATACCAATGTGACTATTATCTCACTCGTGATTTATATGACACCACCCTGCCCCAGGAAAAGATAGAACACTGGGGAGAAGCTACAGCTCGGCAAAGGACAGAACTTTCTATTGGGAAAGCTGGATGATTAATTAGTTCAGAGTATGAGCTTTGGGTCAGACAGACCTGGATTTTCAGCTTTGGGTCAGACAGACCTGGTCTACTTGGTGACGTTGGTCACATTATTAACCTTTCTAAGTCTCAGTTTCCCAGTCTATAAAATGAGGATAATATCTCACAGAACCAGCATGAGGAATACATGGGATCATGTGTTTAAAGGCACTGAGCCCAGTGCTGGCGCACGCTGAGTGAGACACGATTGCAATTGCCATCATCAACAGCAGAGCCGTCCAAAGGGGCGTTAGTGGTAAAGTGATGAGCTCCTTCCTCATCCGGAGAGAGGTGGTCAGGCCCAGACTGAACCACCACTGGGCGGGATGCTGTAAAGAGCATGTAAGCAACAGCAGGGCTGGAGTAGGTGACCTTGAAGGAGTTTATCCGACCCTTAAATTCTAGGACTCTGTGAAAATTAAATTCTGAAAGCAAATCACAGCTCCATTCCAGCCTCATCGACTTCATTACCAAAAAGGAAATGCCCAAGAAAAATGGGAATGACCCTCCTGAAACAAGTAGCCAACAGGTGGGGCTGTTGAGCAAATGTCTGGGCCCTTCTCACCCTGGCACTCGTCCACTCTACCTTGTTTTTTGTTTCCTGGAGAAGCCTTCTGGGCTCTCCTCTGTGCATGGAGGCTGCGAGTTCTGTAAGAAAAGAGTGTATGGAGGAGAAAACAGACTCACTGCTGGAAAATTATTTCAGTATTTCTGAAATCTGCTGGAGAGGCTTGTGCATGCCACCTGTGTCTTTTTATGGTTGATTCAAGAACAGGCTATGAATGTAAATGAAGCTCTGGATTGGCCTCTTCTTCTTTCACTAATAAAGGATCAATAGGTTGAGTAATCAGGACAAGTACTTAATGGAGAAAGAGGAGAACCCAGCCCCCAACACATGCATATGAGCGCGCGCACACACAGACACACACACACACACGCACGCACACACACAATTATGTCAGCGTGTTATACCAGCCAGGCATAGAAATATTTTTGCATGTGTATGTCTTTATTTGCTTAAATTGTTGTGCCTCACTTTGAAAGATTAGACAGCTGCTTGATACATAAAAGAGAATGTTTTATCACATGTTGTAGACTGAAATGAGATCATCCATTTTGGATCTGTAAAGTTTTCTTATGCAGCCCTAAACACCAAAAAGTCTCTCCGCACCCAAATTGCTTAAACATTTGCATAAAGCTTTTATCTCTGTTTTACCATCAACCATCTGAGTTGCCTGAAAAGCTTCTGTGTAATGAATTCATGGTGATAATTCTTTCTTAAACTTTAATAGGTCAGTACAATATGTATAAGTATGCTACCCAATGACCGCCCCTCATTCATTTATTCTGTCAACAAGCATTTATTGAACACATTGAACACTTATTGTGTGCCAAGTATTGGGGGCGTAAAAAATTAATGAGATGCAGTCTCTGCTGAGGAAGAATTTAACAGACTGGATGAGAAGACAGGCACATGATTAAATAATTATTGCACAACATGGAGCACTGCAGAGAGTACATTAGACTGTAAGCAACTTGCTGTCAGGGTCTTTGTCTTGGTTACTATCACAATCCTGCTGTGCCCACTGACTTGTACAAAGCAGGTACTCAATAAATAAATTATTGGTTGAATAAATAAATTAGTAGTGTTAAGGGTATACAGAGAGTAACTGATACAAACTGGCTTACTAGGAAAACTCCCTGGGCCAGGCGTGGTGGCTCACGCCTGTAATCCTAGCACTCTGGGAGGCTGAGGTGGGCGGATTGCTCAAGGTCAGGAGCTCGAAACCAGCCTGAGCAAGAGCGAGACCCCATCTCTACTAAAAATAGGAAGAAATTGGCCAACTAAAAATATATAGAAAAAATTAACTGGACATGGTGGCACATGCCTGTAGTCCCAGCTACTCGGGAGGCTGAGGAAGGAGGATCCCCTGAGCCCAGGAGTTTGAGGTTGCTGTGAGCTAGGCTGATGCCATGGCACTGTAGCTCGGGCAACAGAGTGAAACTCTGTCAAAAGAAAAGAAAAGAAAAGAAAAGAAAAGAAAAGAAAAGAAAAGAAAAGAAAAGAAAAGAAAAGAAAAGAAAAGAGAAAAGAGAAAAGAAAAGAAAAGAAAAGGGAGGGGAGGGGAGAGGAGGGGAGAGGAGGAAGGTTTGTACATCTGCTGTGTGATTTTGCTTGTGAAAATAGCTTTTATCAATTTGACAATCCAAACATAAAAGCAAGTGTGAAAATTACTGTTGCTAGTGACCCTTCCAATGCCTCTCATCTGTCCTGTGTATTATCTAAAAATCAAAGGTGGTTCCCCAAAGTGGTTATGCCTCCAACTGAAGCATAATTTTCTTCTACTCATGTGTGTAAATGATTTTTAATTATTTAACTATGTCAACTTTCCTTCGGTTTCTGTAGGATGCACTGAAGGCCCAATTGACTTGGTCTTTGTGATTGATGGATCCAAAAGTCTGGGAGAAGAGAATTTTGAAGTTGTGAAGCAATTTGTCACTGGAATTATAGATTCCTTGGCGATTTCCCCCAAAGCGGCTCGAGTGGGGCTGCTCCAGTATTCCACGCAGGTCCGCACGGAGTTTACCCTGAGAAACTTCAACTCGGCCAAAGACATGAAAAAAGCCGTAGCCCACATGAAATACATGGGCAAGGGCTCTATGACCGGGCTGGCCCTGAAACACATGTTTGAGAGAAGTTTTACCCAAGTAGAAGGGGCCAGGCCCTCCTCCGCACGGGTGCCCAGAGTGGCCATCGTGTTCACCGACGGACGGGCTCAGGACGACGTCTCCGAATGGGCCAACAAAGCCAAGGCCAATGGTAATATGGGAGGGAGGTGTCGTTAACACCACTCAAGGCTCAGCTTTCTTAAACTCACTCAATGGCCACAGCTGGCCATAGGAGTAAGAGTCTTTGAAAGTACAGAAAGGGCTTCCTGTGAACTGTGATTATACACCTTTACTAAACTGCCACCTAGAGGCCTAAATGGGGCCCCACAGGAATTAAATAAAGTGCTCAGAAAAGATGAGAAAGTCTCGCCAACTGAAAGGTTAGGTTACCCAGCCCACACCCAGGTAACCATCTGTGATTTACTAGCCAGTCTGCGACCTCCAGTGGAGAGAATCACCCCTGCGTGTGCCGTTTAACCACAAATACACAGCGGTGCCCAAACTCAGGTCTGGTCACTTTAGAATCACCTGAAGAGCTTGTAAAAACTAGAATCCTGATGGGAACTCTTACTGAGATATATATGTCTCATATATAATGTATATTATATATTTCATATATAACTTGTCATATATAATGTATATTTTATATATATTTATATTTTTAACCAATGCTTCAAGTGAACACTCTGAAAGTGCAATAGTCTTGGGATAGAGAATGCTCTTGTATTTGCAGGAAGCAAAAGTTAGCTTTTAAGAACATTAAAATGTTGGAAGAGATTATGACTCTAAGTTCTTGTTGCTCCGTAAAGCTCAGCTTGTTCTCTGAGGTTTTCCTGACCTCATGTATAATGCAGGAAGGGGCTTGAGGGTTACTTCAGTTGTATAGCTGTGAAGTGCGATAGAGTAAGGCCCTTAGCAAAAGAGAATCCAAAGGCTAGGTTGGTTGGTAGAGACAGTTTATGGTGGTTTCTGGATTCCTTGAGGGAAGATGAGAAAAACTTGAGGTTGTGAGGTAGTTTGCTTGAAAGCCATCTTCTTTAAGTGCTTGTTGAGGGCACATTGCTTTAGCAGGTCTTATAAGGGGAAATAAGGCATGCACAGATCAAGGCCTCATCCAAGACTTTATGGACCCAGTGCCTAGATCAGGCATGGCACATAGCAGGTGTGACTACTTGCTGAGTGAATGAAAATGGAGTAAAGTACTAGCAATCCCATTGGTGAACTCCATTCCTCCTCACAGAAAGGCTGATTCACATGGGCATTCAATCACTCTCTTTATGAAGGTGGTCATTTTATTGATACTGCTTATCTTACTATTCAGTCCTTTTTCTCTAGCCCAAGAGAATGGTAGCCACAAAAAAGTGTTGTGCTCTGAGTCATCTGGGTGGATTGTAAAATTGGCTATTCATAATAGATGAGCTTGCTAGAGCTCATGCCTAACCCATGGGCCCCTCCAGCCTGCATTCTTAAAAAGTTTTGGGAGGCCAGGCATAGTGGCTCATGCCTGTAATCCTAGCACTTTTGGGAGGATGAGGGAGGATCATGTGAGGCCAAGAGTTCAAGACCAGTCTGAATAAAATAGCAAGACCCAGTCTCTACAAAAAATAGAAAAATTAGCTGGGTGTGGTGGCATGTGACTATAGTCCCAGCTACTTCAGAGACTGAGGCAAGAGGATCCCTTGAGCCCAGGAGTTTGAGATTGCAGTGAGCTATGATGACACCACTGCACTCTAGTCTGGGCAACAGAGCGAAACCCTGTCTCTATTTGGGGAAGCCTTTTGGTCTCCAGAGACAGTGGTTAGCCCTTTTGTTTCATTGAGACTAATCTACCTTACACTTTCCTCCATTTAGATTTCCACAAATCACCCAAAGGTAGGTGGTAGGAGAAGTAGATGTTGATTTGGTTTTTAAATCAACAAGATTTATTTGAGGTAACATCCTGTTATGAATTTAATTATTTTTATGTATAGCTAACACAATCTTAAAATAGTATTAATAGTCATCCTTTTTAGGAAGTTGTGCATGAAGTTACTGGGCTCCCAGACAAATATGTTGAACTTGGTTATTGACCTTACACAGACTTAGAACAAGGCATAACTCGCCCCTTGGCTTGAAGAGCCATTTTCATGTGCATTTTTTAAAAATCCAGTCTAATGAATTAGCCAGAATAATATATCAGTGCTGAAAAATGTAGGATGTCAAGGAGGACTTAATTCTTACTGTTTTACTTTCAAATGAAGAATTTATAAGGGAAGGAAGTCTAATGATTAATTTGATTTAGAAAAGCTTTTAGAGCAATATTATATCCCTTTTGAAATTTAAGGTTCTTTTTCTTGACTTTGGGGATTTCCAATTGCCTGCAGATTCTCTTTTTTAGCTTAGCACCTCCTCACAAGGTTGTGTCTTTCCAAGAAAGGTGGGAAAAAGACAGCTTTGGCCCAGGTCACTTGAGTTTCCTATCCTGGACCTTTGAAAAGGAAAAACTAGGTTATAAGTTCATAAATTGACTTGCTTCTCAGAATTCTTCCAGAAGAGATTCCCATTTAGCAAGCCATAAGATAGTGCTCTTTTCTACTCATCCAGAAGGCTAATTCAGGGAAAAATTAGATTTTTTAAATGGCCTTGCTTAGAGCTGAGCAACAGGTTGGTGGTTTAGCTTCCCAACCTCTCCCAGATGCCTCACCTCTCTCTTGGATCCCTTTTGTTCACAGGGCCAAAATAAAAATGGTGGAAAAATAAAAAGAAAAGGAGGCTGACATGGACGCCTGAAATCATACCACTTAATAGATAGCTGGCTTTGGGGGCAGAACACACAAGTTCCAGACCCAGGGAACACAATTCTAACTACCTTTTTCTCTCCCCCACCCACTGCCAAGAGATGGGTCTCACTATGTTGCCTAGGCTGGCCTCAAACTCCAGAGCTCAAGTGATCCTCCTACTTCAGCCTTCTGAGTAGCTGGGACTATAGGTATGCACCACTATGCCCAGCTTTCAACTCTACCTTTTTCCTAATTTGCTCTGTGCTTTAGGTATCACTATGTATGCTGTTGGGGTAGGAAAAGCCATTGAAGAAGAACTACAAGAGATTGCCTCTGAGCCCACAGACAAGCATCTCTTCTATGCCGAAGACTTCACCACAATGGGCGAGATAAGTGAAAAACTAAAGAAACGCATCTGTGAAGGTACTATAGCTTACGTCTGGGAAAGACCTTAGTGAACAGGGCAGCATCAACCCTTGAATGAGAAATTCTCAACCCATTCCTTCCAAGTGATCCTTAGTGAGCAGGTCAGTGGTTCCTGGAAACACTAAGCACAAGATGGGGAACAGGGAGAGAGGGCAAGACAAAAGGAACAGCCATCATTGCTTGAGCACTTGCTCTGTGCGGAGCAATGTGATAAGTGCTTTGACGCGCCAGCAACCTTATCTTCACAAAAACCCTAGAGAGAGGATCATTTGAGTAAGAGATGAAATTCAGATTTTGTTGTTTTTGCTTTTCTCCAGTTTGCTAACTGTGCCAGGTATACTTACACATAGCAGTTATGCCCATTTTTCTTTTTTACTCATGTCCCAGTTTCAGTCACCAGTAAAATCCAATTCTAAGTGCTGTGTCTTACTCCTCCAAAGGAAAGAACTCTGAGAAGAAGGGGGGACCAGGCAGGGAAGGCCTTTCAGATTTCTGTGAATAGAGAATGTTTTGCCTCTCAGCTGTTTCATTCAAGTTAAAATGCCTCAAGCAGAGCTGCTGACATTGTGACTTGATTCTTCAACAACTTCACCTTTTTGTCTGCCCTACTTTCTAGACATGACATTTTTGGGAGCATTCTTAAGATGTACTTAAAGGATCTAGTCTTCTCTTGCTAGTGAGAATTGCCCTAGAGTGGTCATAGAGATCATGGTACCCAATTGCTTTTTTGAATCTTTGGTGTTACCGAATAAAACCAAAAAACCCTGGGTTATGGCAGTAGGTAAGAAGTTGGTCTGGGACCAGATTCCTAAAGAACACATGCATGCATGTGGACAACTGTCACTCCTTTTGGTCATCTTTTTCTGCTCAGCTCTAGAAGACTTTGATGGAAGACAGGACTCCCCAGCAGGGGAACTGCCAAAGAGAGTCCACCAGCCAACAGGTAATTTTAAAAAGCAGTGTTTTTAGAAACTTTGGTGGGTAATTCCACCATTGTTTCCCTCCAGATAAAAGTTGTAAAGGAGTGAAAGTAAGTAAGATTTAAAGTATGTTAATTAAGGCCTTTTTTCCTCAAAAAAAGGAAATTAGCATCTCTGCTGACAATCTTTTTGCCACAGTATGTCCCAAAGTCAAGCTCTGTACCAAGTGCTAGGAATACCAAGTACCTTATTCTGCGGATGGCTTTTTTATAACCACAATAGTGTCAAGCAAGTTTGACTTCAGTTTTCTTTCTCTTTACAGAATCTGAGCCAGTCACCATAAATATCCAAGACCTACTTTCCTGTTCTAATTTTGCAGTGCAACACAGATACCTGTTTGAAGAAGACAATCTTTTACGGTCTACACAAAAACTTTCCCACTCGACAAAATCTTCAGGTAATTCCAAGAGAAATAGTACTATAAGGATAACTTGATTCCAGACTTTTAGCTTGCCAACAAACTTAGCTTTAAGGAGGAAAGGAAAGGAGGAAGTATGAAATACTATAGAGAAAACAAAAGAAAGAACCTAAGTAAAATGAGAACTAAAAAAATAAACTAAAAGAAACTGGAGTAGTCTTCCCCACTAATCCACAATAATGGCCACTTCTAGTACTGGAAGCATATACAGCCCTTTTCTGGTATTTACTTTACTGGATCTGGCTGCACGGAAAAAGTTAAAAACATTTCTTTCATTATGGTTTCCTCCACATGCTGATTCAGTCTTATTATTATGCATCTGGGAAGTCTGGTGAATTATAGAGGTGAACACTTTCCATCTGCTTTCTCAGGAACCCCTTTGGAAGAAAAACAGGATCAATGCAAATGTGAAAACCTTATAATGTTCCAGAACCTTGCAAATGAAGAAGTAAGAAAATTAACACAGCGCTATATCCTTTTCTAATATTATACTTCTGTATGGAACATAAAGAATATTACCAAAACTTCACAAATACTTTATGTGGGTGTATCAACTTTAGTCATTCCCATGAATTTGAGAATACTGAACTCCAGGAAAGACTTTTGCTTAAAAAAGCAGCCTAAGGAGTGTCTGGGAGCGAAGGGCAAACCAAGCTTAGTGGCAATGGTCAAGCACTTAGTTGCCATCTCCTGTTCTAGGGGGTTTAGCAATAAGGCCAGTCAGCATGCAAAGTAAAGGAAAAAGAGACTGACTTAACTTCCTCTCTGTTGGGAGGATATGTACTGGGTCTGAAATTCATCAAAGGTACAGTATGGATAGGCAAAGAATGTCGTAGGAGGAAGAAGTTTCAAACCCAATCTAAACTCTAAACCTTTCCTTTAGCCCCAAGCTACACCACAGCCACATTTGGATTCAGTGTGTACTTTCTGGAGGGCTGGGGTGGTTTTGTGTGTGGGTTGGTTTTTTTTTTTTTTTTGGCAGCAGAGATATTTTCTATCAGCACTCTAAAAGATGAAATGTTCTAAGGGAAAAGCAGGATCCAATGATTCATTAAAACAATATTACGAATAAAAGGAATGCTTTGGGATAATAGAGGAATGAGGATTCAGTACTTTTACACATTGAACACCCTGCCAATTGCTCTGAACTTAGAATTACAGTAAGCTTACTAAAGCTGGCTGGTATCTTTCTCAGCATGTATTAACTAGTCTACAGGGAAATGGTTTAATTCTGAACTACCTCTGTGCCAATGGGCTTATGTAATATGGAACAACAGCATATAGCACTTCCCTTTCTGAAAGCTGGAAATATGCTCCCCTAAGTAAAATAATCTGACAATGGTTACTATAAATGATGAATCTAGACTCTCATTTTACCACCAAGAGGGCAGATGGAGGGTATTAAGGAGGTTACAAGGAAGAGAAATACTTATTCTAACGTCTTTCCTCTTCCTTTTCCCATCACACCCCTGAAAGTCTACCTCATTAAGACAAAAAAAGATATATATATATATACATACACACACACACACACACACACATAAAAAAGAGCACAAGTCAGTCAGAATTCCTGAAGGCTGCCATCCTTTGGCTTTACCTGGCACCATGGGTGAAAACTTCCCATTTCCCTTCTCTTCTGACTTCATATCTTATTTTCCAAGGCCTAATCCTTTCATTTTCTTCTCATCACATTCTCAACATTATCAATTCTCTAGCTCTCAGCAGTGTGCTATGGCAAACTAATTTACAAGCAACAGGGGTGGGAACAGAAAGGACAAATTCAGAGCTATCTGGCTTTGATAATGTTTTTTTAAAAGTACTTAGCCTAAAATATATGTCTTGACATCATATGTTAAATGAGTTACTATAAACTTACAAATCAAAATTTTAAAATACTTGACAAAAATGGAAAACAAACTAAAGCCTTTTATATTTCAGAATCCAAATTTTTATGTAGATGATCAAGTTATATTTGAATGGGAGTAAAAATAGGCAATTCAGGTTCCTCTTCCTTAATTTGAGATTTACTAGAAGAAATGACAGAGAGAATGGAAGCCCTGGAAAATCGCCTCAGATACAGATGAAGATTAGAAATGCTCTACATTATCTGTATGTCATTGCATCAAAGATTACATTGAAATCAGTTCAGAGCATCAAAGCTCAGGCTTTGGTTGATAATGTTGTGAAGTAAAACAAAACCAGTACTGAGAAAGCTGGTTTGCTATAGAACAAAGACAAAAAGTAGACACTAACTTGTATAAATTTATTTAGAAAAAAAAAATCCTTCAGAATTTTATGAGTTTACCATGAGAATAAATAAGCTATGCAAGGTATTTTGTAATATACTGTGGACATGACTTGCTTCTGCCTTGTCCTGCCTTAGTGTTGCAGTCTCATTTCACTATAAGATCAAGTTTGCGCAGTCTTACTGCTGTAGAACACTGGCCATAGGAAATGCTATTTTTTTGTATTAGACTTTACTTTGATATATGTATATGGATGTATGCATAAAACACAGGACATATGTACTTGTGTAACATGTTGGATTTTTTATATATTAAAATTCACTTCAGAGAATGGTATTGTGTAAAATTCTTAATTTAACTTTAAATGCAAGATATGTATACATGAGAAATAGCCATTATGCGTATGAACAAAATGTTGAATCTTACCAGTAATCAGAAAAATGCAGGTTTTATGATACCATTTTTCACCCATCAGCTTAGTGAAAATGAATGTAATTGTCTATTGGTAAGGATGTGACAATATGGGGCTCTTACAGTGAGTGCAAATAACAGTCTCTTTGGAGAATAAATCTCCTGGTATCTCATAAAACTGAAAATACATACAACCCTGTAACTAGCAACTGCACTTATAGTTACCTAACTAGATGATTTTAACACATACTTACAAGGAGATCTGTATAAGAATGTACAGATCACTAGAGTTTGTAAAAGCTCTACAACAAAAGCTCTACAAACTCTAGTACAAACTAGTTTGTAAAAGCAACAAATTAGAAACAACCTAAAATATCATCAGATGGGGAACTGATAAACTACATAGTCTATGCCATAGAAATACTATACATTTACAGGAAGGTGCTGAATCTACACAAATACATGGTAAAACTCAAAAACAAAGATGACTTTAAAAAACCAATGAGGCCTGCCTGTAATCCTAAAACTCTGGGAGGCTGAGGTAGGAGAATCCCTTGAGTTCAAGACCAGCCTAAACAACAGTGAGATCCTGGCCCTACAAAAAACAGAAAATTTAGCTGGGTGTGGCAGTACAGTCCTGTAGTCTCAGCAACTAAGGAAGCTGAGGCAGGAAGATCACTTGAGCCCGGGAGTTTTGAGCATGCAGTGAGCTATGAATGCACCACTTCACTCCAGCCTGGACAATAGACAGAGACCCTGTCTCTAAAAAAAAAAAAAAAAAAAAGATAGCCTAAATGATGTTCTTCCCATGGAAGCCACTGTATTTTAGAGTCCAAATGATACTTTACAAACAAAACACCTTGAATGAGCTTAGGTTTAAATATTTCAAAAGAAGTGTTTCCATCAGAATGTCCTCCCAAAGGGCAGTGTGAGAGAGTGGGAAGAGTATCTACTGGGCCTCAACTTTATCTGAAAATCGAGTTCTTTCTAGGCATAGAAGTTGTGACTCAAAGTATTAAACCTTGAGTTTGTATTTATATTTGAGTAAACCATTTGACCCTGAAAACACAGGTTTTCACGAGGAAGTAGTATTGGTTTGTGTTGACATTATGTTGGAGATAGTCATGCATCCCTCAACGGTGGACATATGTTCTCAGGCATGCGTCATCAGGCGATTTTATCTTGTGAACATCATAGAGTATACTCACACAAACCTAGATAGTATATCCTATTGCTCCTAGGCTACAAACCTATGTATATAGCACGTTACTATAATGAATACTGTAAGCAACTGTAACACGATGGCTAATTATTTGTGTATCTAGATATATTTAAACATAGAAAAGGAATTTCTTAGCTTTATATAATCTTATGGGACCACCACCGTATATGCAGTCTGTTGTTGACCAAATGTCTTATATGTTGCATGACTGTGTATAAGTTCAGGCATTGCTTCCAGTCGGTCAGTTCTACTTCATTTTCTATTGTGTTCAAGCTCCCTCTAGTGGCTCAAAAGACTACTCCCCCTTTAGCTATTAAATACATTTCATCATACATTTTTTAGTTATTAAATACATTTCTCCATCTTAGGGGGAATACAACTTCAAGGAAAACAAAAGCTTCCAAACTTTTGTAAATTTATTTATAAAATTAATCAAAATTTACAGGTTAATCTAAGATAACTTGAAGATTGCCTAAAATTTGAATATTTCTCACTTATTTTTTGCCACCTATACATTTCAGTTGTAAGGATTTTACATTCCATTTTCATCATTTATTGTGACTTTTCCATGCCTTGATTTCATCTGCAAAATGGGTATAATATTTCTACTTCAATGGGTTGTCAAGAGGATTAAATGAGTTCACATATACACTACATATACACTATTTAGTAAAACATTTTAAATGCTGAAAATTAACTATTATATTTTTATTCTTCAGCAGCCAATAGTATCAGAAACAAAGATGGTCCTTGGGTTAAGTGTATGTTGAGTGAATGAAAGAACAGAATTAATCCATTCCTTACCTGAGAAAAGTATTTTGGCAGATTCCCACACCTAAAATTACCTTTTGAGGCAAACAGGTAGGAGGTAGTAGATTAAATAATGGTAAGTACAAAAGATGGCAAAGAACTACTATTAACAAGACAAAAATAAAACTGTAGACTGCCAAAAGTACATCAATGAGAATTAAGTACACTTTTAAGCCCTAAAAGTCATTATTTGCTCTTTTATTTTTTCCCTTGAGACAGAGTCTCACTATTTCTCCTGGTAGAGTGCAGTGGCATCATCACAGCTCAGTGCATCTTCAAACTCCGGGGCTCGAATCATCCTCCTGCCTTAGCCTCTCTAGTAGCTGGGACTATAGGCATGTGCCACAATGCCTGGTGGATTTTTCTATTTTTAGTAGAGACGGGGGTCTAACTCTTGCTCAGGCTGGTCTCAAACTCACCTGAGCTCAGGCTCAAGTGATCCTCCCATCTTGGCTTCCCAAAGTACAAGGATTACAGGTGTGAGCCACCATATCTGGCCTGCTCTATTTTTGGTAAGTGACATAAAGTTGAATATGTTGAGTCCCTGTCCTCTAGGACCTTAGTTTAGTGAGACAGTTGTGATTTAAAAGGCCAAAAAGGTCTAAGGTAACTCTGAGGCACCTATTCTAGACTGGAAGAGGATGTCGGGCTTTCTCTCAGAGTAAGTACAAGTAGGATGGAGAAGGGGGCAGGAGGAAGGAAAGCAGATGCCACTGCAGGCAGAGGGAGCAGCAAGTTTAAGGGGCAGCTGGTAGTTACAAACAAGCAGATCAAAGAGAAAACAGCTTTCCATGAAGCAGATGATAATCTTCCTGATGAACCAACTAATTGCATTCATCGTTAGCCTAAAATTTGGTTTATTTTCTACACTCCTTTTGCTTCTACTATTCCATACCAACTGCAATTCTTAACACACTCCATAATATCTGACCTCTCCTTTGGGACTTCTATCTCCATACCTAACAATTCAATATAGGTATGGAGTAAATCTAATAGGCTAGAACTTCCCACAATCTCCTGCATATTAGAGCTACCCAGTCAAACACCATTGCTTTCATTGTAATCAGAGAAGAACATTTAAAAATGCTACCTTACACCTTCCCAGATGTTCTTACCCAGTGGCACTTTCTGACTCTGGCAGTAGTTTAACAACACAGGTACCACAGGCCAGAATGACTGAGGTATGTTTCCTATCTACTAGCTTTAAACTCCTTGTCCCTGAACTTTAAATTCTTTTCTTGCTACAAGAAACAACAGTGATTGCACAAAAAGTACATATAAAGAAAAGTAAAAGCCAAATGACTTTATAGCACATTGTCACTACCTAGAAATCATAAATTTTCTAAAAACCATCATTCCAAAATGCCTCTAGCCAAAAAAATCATGCAACAGAAGAAACATTGCAAAGAAATTAGACTGGCTTCCTCAAAAACCTGAAAATATAACTACTATATGACCCAGCAATTCCACTGCTGAGTATTCAGAAGGGAATGAAGTATATGGAAAAGATACCTACACTCCATGTTTATTGCAGCACTATTCACAATAGCCAAGATATGGAATTAACCTAAGTGTCCATCAGCAGACAATGGATAAATTGTGGGATATATAATGACAGTGTTATCAGAAAAAAAAGAGTGATGTGTATACCCAATGTAATATCATATAGCCACAAAAAAGAATGAAATCCTGCCATTCGGAACAACACAGATGAAACTGGAGAACATTATGTTAACTACAATAAGCCAAGCACAGAAAGACAAATCCCACATGTTCTCACTCCTATGTGGGAGCTAAATATTAAAATCAATGGATCTCGTGGAGACAGAGTAGAATGACAGTTACCAGAAGCAAGGAAGGGTAGTGGGGAGGGTGGGAATAAAGGATGGTTAATGGGTGGAAAAATGGATAGAATGAACAATATTTGATAACAAAGTGACTATAATCAACAATAAGTTAGGGTATACTTTAAAATAACTAAAAGAGTGGAATTGGAATGTTCATAACACAAGTAAATGATAACTGCCTGAGATGGAACCCCAATTACCCTGCTTTAATTCATGGTATACCTGTATCAAAACATCGTATATACCCTATAAAGATATACAACTATTGATTTGTTGGCAAGTTAATAAACTCCAATTACCTTGCTTTAATTCATTGTATGCCTGTATCAAAACATCATATGTACCCTATAAAGATATGAAACTATTGATTTGTTAGCAAGTTAATAAACTCCTTTTTCCTTCTCAAAAAAAGAAAAAAAAGATATACAACCATTATGTACCCATAATTAAAAAATTTTTAAAAAGAAATGGTACATTGGTGTCTATAATAATGTTTTCTTCAGGTCACCACCCTTTAAGAAATTAAAGCTTGTCAACCTGGAAGGAAAAATAACCCAAAAAGCGTGAAAAATTTACTTGTGGGAGAAATTGACCAAGCATATCATAAAAACATTTTCAAACTATGGAAACGGACAGTATTAGTGTTAGAGACTAGTAATCTCTATAGTTAAATCTTTGATATGACTAAGCAATTCTTATCAAAGATTTCAAACATATATCACTTTGGGCACACTGGTCTCTTGATATATAAACATGAATACCTTTATATTTAAAATTTTCCATACAACCCAGTGGCTCTTAACCAGGGAAGATGCCAGTTTAAAAATGTGGAGATGCCTGAGGTGATGGATACCCTACTTACCCTGATTTGATTAATATACATTGTATGCCTATATCAAACCATCACATATGCTCTATAAATCTGTACAACTATTATGTGCCCATAATAATTAAAATTAGTTTTTAAATGTGGGGATGACATTTAGGGGTGTTGAATGTCACAATGACATGGAAGGAAAACCAAGAATGAAAATTACCCTG